GTGCTTCAGGGGACGTTTCGACTGCTCTAGGGGGGGGTTTGGATGCCCCTAGGGGGTTCGGATGCCCCCCAGGGGGGTTTTGGGGTGTGCCCAGGAGGGTTTTGGGGTGCCCCCAGGGGGGGGTTTGGGGTGCTGGTCACGGGGCCCACCTTCTCCAGGGTTTCGATGCGTTGTTTCAGCAGGCGATTCTCGGTGCGGAGGCGCTGGGGGGAAAAATTGGGGAAGAATTAGCCCTGGGGAGGGGAATTGATGTCCCTGGGGGGGGTCACTGAGCTTGGGGACAGCTTGGGGACATGGGGACATGGGGGTAAAGCGACCTTGGGGATGGGTTAAGCCATCCCCAGATGGCTCCGGTGGCCCCGGGGCTGGGTCAAGCAGCCCTGGGATGGCTTAAACAACCCTGAAGATGGGACAATAGTGGCCCTGGGATGGCTTAAATGACCCTGGGGACGGGCTAAGTGGCCTTGGGGACAGCTTAAATGGCCCTGAGATAGGTCATGGTGGCCCCAGGATGGCTTGAGTGACCCTGAGGATGGGCTAAGTGGCCTCGGGGACAACTTAAATGGCCCTGGGATAGGTCAAAGTGGCCCCAGGATGGCTTAAATGACCCTGGGGATGGGCTAAGCTGCCCCGGGAGGGCTCAAGTGGCCCTAGGGATGGCTCAAAAGGTGCTAGGGATGGGCTAAACGGTACCCAGGATGGACTAAGTGGCCCTGGGAACAGATTAAATGGCCGTGGGATGGGTCAAAGCCATCCCAAGATGGGTTAGATGGCCTCGGGGATCAGTGAAGTCATCCCAGGATGGCTGAAGTGGGCCTGGGGATGGGCTAAGCCATCCCAGGATGGCTCAAGTGGCCCTAGGGACAGGTCAAGTGGCTTCAGGGAGAGGCTAAGCCGCCCTGCGATGGCCTAAGCGGCCCTGGGAATGGGTTATGTGGCCAGAGGATGGCTCAAAGTGACCACAAGGATGAGTCAAAGTGGCCCCGGAAGAGCTTAAATGGCTCCGGGGATGGGCTAAGCCATCCCAGGATGGTTCAAACGGCTCTGGGAATGGGTCAAAGTGACCCTGGGATGGGCCAAGGTGGCTCCAGGATGGCTCAGATGGGTCCCAGGGATGGGCTACGCCACACCAGGAGGGCTCAGCTGGCCTCAGGGATGGGCCAAGTGACCATAAGGATGGTTCAAGTGGCCCCAGGATGCCAACACTTGACCTGTCTCACCTTGATCTCGATCTGCTCTTCCATCTCTTTGTTCTTGATGGTGGCGTACTCCTTCTCCAGCCTGCTCGGGGACATAAGGACAGGCTGGGACACGAAGACGGGGACCAGACCCCCTCTCCCTCCACCCCACGGCTCCTGGAGAGACCCCACCCAAGCACAGGAACCCATCTTCCCATCTCACCTCTTCATCTTCTTGGGGTTGTACTTGACCTGGAAGGCCCTGAGGATGAGTTTGTCGGGGCAACTATCAAATTGGTGTGGGATCACCTTCTGGAAGTACTGCGGGTGCGGAAACCGGTCATGAAACATGGCCTCAAAATACAGCCCATCGCATAAACCAGCCCTAAAGTAGGGCCTGTTGGGTAAAACCAGCCCTAAAATAGGGTCTGTTGGATAAATCTGCCCCAAAACATACCCTCGTTGCATAAATCCACCACAAAATACGGCCCGTTGCATAAACTTGGCCCCAAAACAGGGCCCGTTGGCTAAATCTGCCCCAAAACACAACCCGTTGGACAAATCCACCGCCAAATATGTTCTGTTGCCTAAATCTGCCCCAAAACACGTCTCGTTAGACAATCCCAACCCCAAAACATGTCCCGTTGGACAAATCCATCCTAAAACACATCCCGTGGGCTAAATCCATTCCAAAACCCACCGGCACGTACCTGGGACATGCCTTCCATGTCAAGCTGGACAAGCTCAGCCTGGTTGAACTGCAGCAGTGCCATCCCCACGCGGAAGACGATCTCTAACCCCTGCGAGAAAGGTCCACGCTTGATCCCACGTCATCGCCTTTCCCACTCGGGATTTGTTTTTCTTTTTTTTCTCCCCAAAATCAGACCAGTTAAGCGGGGAGAACGTTTCCACATCCAAGCGGAAAACGTGGTTGCGGTCCCTTCGTGATTTACGGTGTTGGCCGCGGCCTCGTTACCTCGTACATGAAGATGTCGAAGACGCGCGTGGCCACGGGAAGAGGGAAGGTGGTGAGGAAGAGGGTGAGGAACCAGGACGAGGCGTACATGGAGGTGAGGAAGCTCTGCGAGCGGAAGTGGATGTTCAGCTCCGGCAGCTGCTCCTGGACGTAAGGAATGAAGGAAAATGAAGAGAAACAGCAAACGGTGCGTGTTTTTGGGGGTCATTCATGGTTGCTGAGGTTTCCTTGAGGTCCTCTGCCTACCTGTAGCATGTACTCAAACTGGTAGATGCAGAGCCCCAGTTCGGCCATGCTGGGTTTGAAAAGCTCCCGTAAGCGGTATTCCTGCATCAGCTTCACGAACACGCAGAAGGCTTCTTCCTCGGGCATCTGGAGACCCAAAGGGACGTGAATTTCCCCTTAAACCTCTGCTGGATGCGGACTCTTTTCCCATCAGGTGATGGGATGGGATGGGACATGCCAGGAGCTGTCCCTGGGTGAAGGGGAAGGCGAACGGGGGATTTTAAATCCATCAGGAGGGAGTGGGGTGGTGGGAACAAGCCCATTTTGTTCCTGAGGATCACGAAAAAGGCTCCCGTTTCCCAATCCCATTCTACCACGTCTCTGGAAGGTGTTAAAAACTCATCAGCAGCTTCTCCTCACCCCGGGGTTGTCACAAACCTGCATGAGGAGCAGTCCCACGATGAAGGCGCTACCTTGGCAGTATCCGACCTCCCGGTCCACCAGTGAATAGGCCTGGAAGGAGGAAAAAAAACCATTCAAAATCAATATATGTGCGAGCAGGGGGATTGGCGGGGCCACCATCCCTGCTTGTTGGCCAACAGTGGAGGAAAGCCTTGACCGCGGTACCAAAAATAGCATTTTTGTTGTGGTTGACAACACCTCCCGTCAGCACGATGTTGCCGCAAGCTTGAATTTAGACCCCCAAATACTCAACTATTTGTTTGTTAATTCAGAGTAAAACTCAACAGGAAAAATGAGGTCTGGGAACAAGGTCCGTTTGTGAGGAAAGATCTCTCACGCTGCAAGAAGTGACGGTTCCAGGAGTTTGGGTTGGAAACCAAACCCATCAAAAATTCATATCCAGTTAAAACAGCTTCAAAACCTGAAGCGGTGTCCGGGTTGTGGTCAAGATCCGTTGATGTTCGAGGAAAGACGTTACCTTCATGACGTTGAAGAGCACCTCCTGGCCCAGACTGTCCTGTCCCTTGAAGAATTCGTGCTCCGGGTAGGTGCGGGCGATATCCCGTCGGATGAGCTTTTCGCAGGGAGAGGACATTTTGAGCAGCTCTGAGTATTGGTTTTTGACGGGCATGTCGGTGGCACTGCAAAGCAGCTGCCAGACGATGGCACGGAAGTGGTGGGGGATCCCTTTGCGGATGAGCTCCTGTGGAAAAATGAGGTAAAAATCTGAGGAAATGGGTTTTAAGAAGATGGGGAAGTTCCTTGTGGATGGGGAGACACCATCCTGTCCCAGTACGGGGAAGGTCGGTGCAGTTTTTCGCAGGAAAGGTTAAAATAAAATTAAAAATAAAGCTTCGTCCTCACCTTCAGCAGCTTCTCCTTCTTCTTCCGCCACTCGTCCCACTCGTTGACGATGCGGCCCCAGAGGATCCAGGTGTCCTCCTCGAGGTGGCTGAGGTTGGAGGAGGCCGAGGAGCTGGAGACCAAGGAGGAGCCGCTGTTCCTTCGCGAGCCGTTCATGGAACGCATCGACTTGGAGTCGGCCTCCAGTAGCCTACGAGAGACCGAGATAGCCCCAAAACTGCCCCAGAAGAGGAGATATTCCCCCCAAAATAGCCCCAAAGGGGAAGAGATTCCTGCAAAATCATCCTGAAAAAGGAGATATTTCCCCAAAACAGCCCGAAAGGAGGAGAGATTCCCCCAAAACAGCCCCAAAGGAGAAGATATTCCCCCCCAAATGCCTCAAAGGGGCAGAGAGTCCTCCAAAATCACACCAAAAAAACGGAGATATTCCCCCAAAATAGCACCCAGATGGGCTACTTGCCCCGGCCAGATGCCAACAGCCGCTCAGGGATGGTTTCTTTAATGAATTTGCTTCAAAAAAACAGATTTCCAATGGGTTTTTTCCAAGAGTAAATTTGCTTAAAAATGGCTTTGCAAAGCAATTTGCATTTCAGGGTTTGATTTTAACACCGGTTTCATGCCAGAGACGGAGTTTTTTGACCCGGTATTTCGGCAAAGTGAGCCTCAGGGCTCATTTCCCGTTAAGAGCAGGTTTAAAACCCACCACCGAAGCGGGTGGGTTTATTATTTATTATTTCCAAACAACCGCCTCCTTCCAGAAATCCCCTTTGCCCGCCCGAACGAGCAAACCCTGCTGCTTTCAAAGAGAGTAATATAACCTTGAAAATAATAAACCGGAGTATTTTCACCCCGGTTGGAGCGATGCCTGGGGGAAGCGGCTCGTTGTTGTCCAGCGTCTTTGATTTTAAGGGAAAAAGGTCCAAAAAAAAGACGATAAAAAGGTGGAATGGGGCAGATATTTGCCGGCACTCACCGATTTTGCTCTTCCAGTTTTGCCAG